AGAAAATTTCCTGAACCTCTCAGTCCATCAGTCATGCTTGTTCAAATAAAGCAGTAAGTTTATTTCTCTGCTAGTTACTGACCCCAAAGTCATGAGTAAGATATCGTGAATAATATGTAAAGGCTGTAACTGGTTCAGAAAACCTTTAATTGGCTAATTAAAAAAAGCCCTATAAGGGGCTGCAGAGAATCACCCAAAATGTTCCTAATGCAGAGTGACATTTTGATTTTCCCCTAAGTTTGAAGCAAGACTTTTGGTATGATCACAGTTTGAGTTAGAGAGGATAGAATTACTTTCTTCCAACAACTCATTCATTCCTCCAAAGAGTGCTGACACAATCAGATCTCTCATCAGGGTTTAGTGCTAAGTCTCATAGCCCTGAAGCAGCACAAAAATCTCTATTTCCTGAACATTTCACTGACCTGTACTGTTAAAGAGTTGCCAACTAAGACAAACCATTAAATGAGCAGGGAACCACAACAGTAAAAATACTACATGAGGCAGCCATGGTTAGTAAGACCTCAGGGTCTAAATCCAAAAATATTTTTATCAACTTTTGTGGATCTACTGCTCTTTTCAGAGGCGCGGATTGAATTCCCCATTGTGGAGGTAGAATTTGCGACACACCACACACGTTGACCTGGCACCAAATTCCCGTGTGATCCACGTGCATACTGGGACATGGTTGCAGTGCCCTGGCTGGTGTCTATCGCTACCTGGACAGCCCAGCACTGACTGGGACTTGCAGAGCACACACTTGCTGCATCTGTGTGCTCGTGCTCTTACAATGCTTCAGCTCTTTTGCAGTTTTCTTACTCTCCAATGTCAAAACAGGTTTAATTATACCCAATAAACAGGTATCTGTACTTGGCGACTTTAGATTAAATTATCAATCAAGCTGGGGCTTAATCTTATCTGTTTGCAAGCAAGGAGGAGACCAGTCATTTGTCCCGTTTGTGGCATGGCAGAATTACAGGGTAATTAAGGCCATAAGGGACCTCAGGAGGTTGTGGAGCCCAACCTCCTGCTCAAAGCAAAATGCATTCACAGTGTTTAGGCACCACCTGGGTTGCAACACTGGCACTGAAGAAAAGGGTCTACTTCTGAGTACCCAGGCTGTGGCACAAGTTTTGTATTGGGGGCTGTGCTCTACCATCATATCAGCATTATGATTTTTAGCACATCCTTCCAATAAAAAAATCAATTTTTGCTGATGACTTTCTTCAAACATCCACTTTAATTTCCTCCTCAAAAAAACCCATCTCATTTATGCACATTGTAAAGATGATAAATGTGTTGACAGTTCAGTGCAAGTGTTTTCTGTTCAAAATTTGCTCAAATTGTCCTACAGATGGGCCTTAGACCTCTTAGTTTATTCCTCCTACTTTCTGTTAACTCTCTGAGTGTACGTAATAAAAGGATTTATTTTAGTTGCCAGCAAAAAGGATAGGTTAAAGTAGAGAAATTTCTAAATGCAGTTGTATTTTTCATTTTATTCACGACCTCCCTCATCCTTCTGCCAAAAGCTCATCGTAATGTGCGTACCTAGAAGGGTTAAAGGAAAAGCAAATATTGGTTGTCTCGAATGAAAGTTTGTACATTTGCAACTATAAAAGTGAAGCAGACAGATGGAGCCACATCATGATGTTTAAGCATAAAGGTCAGGGAGTGAGCTGCAGAGTGGTTATATTCAACAAGGCTTTGGTGCTTAAAGAACAGGGGTTGCCACTGCTGACAGATTTGTTAGAAACCTGTTTAGCTGCCATGAGTGTGAATATATCCAAACAGAAGCATCTATCATCATTAGAATGATAACCCCAAATACATTTATTTCTTGTTTGTTTGGGTTTATTCTCATTCTTGCTCCTAATCTCCACAGACTTTGGACTCAGCCTAAACATCATTTGATTTTTATGGTTGGCTTCATTAGCTTTTAGTGCAATGTCAGTGGCTTGGTTACTAAATCGAATCCCCTGTGGTTGTGGTTGCATATGCTTCACAGGCCTTGCATACGGCAGATGACTTGGAGGCCCGTTTCTCCTTTATTTTATGCATTCTGGACAAACAAATCCTTTTGATTTCTACCTTCTTTGTGAAGTTAGGGCTGTTGTATCTGCACAGACTGTTTGAATTTAGCAGTACAGAAACAGGGATGAAAGCATTCTGCCTGGAGGAAAACCAGTGTCAAATATTCCCACTTGGCTGTCCTTGTTGTCAGGACATCTTCATATTGCATTGCTTAGACAGCTCCCAATGTGTGTCTTTATCAGAGCTCCTATTTTATGATGTATTTTGTTGTTTCCTTTTCCTTCCTTTTTTCCTCAGAGAACTATAAAAATTTATCTTTTTTTTTTTTTTTTGGTGGGGGGTATGAGGTGGTTTCTTAACACATACTATGATAGTTTCTTTTCATTGAGATCACATAGAAGAGGAATTAAGTCAGACATCAGAGAATGCATTTAGTATTTGCTGGATTAAACCCCTGGTATTTGCTGGCTTCCCCCTTCCCTGAGATATTTACCATTTCAACCATGGTAAAGTGTTAGCTGTATTAATAGAGCTGTGGATTTAACCTGCAACAGTCCAGAGCAGTGGCCAAAGCGAAGGCTTATTGTTAAATAATGGAGCATCTTCCATGTCTTTGCAGAGCGGTCCTTTGGGATGTGAAGGCTAAAGAGCAGAGCAGGCTAGCGCCTTGCTGGCACTAATTACACAGCTCACTTAGGCTGTCTCTGCTCCGGCAGTCCATCACTAATCCACGTGTTAGCATAGAAAAGACAACTGACTCACTGTGGAGGAACTTGAAACACTTAAAAAGGAAAAGAAAAAAGTCAGAATTATTTAACATTTTCTCCTTGCACCAGAATGCTGTGGTAGTAGCAGGGTGAGGTGTTGTAGACCCAGGCTCTCTCTCCCCCTGTCAGGCTCTTCCTCACAGGTAACCATGGATGGAGCCAATCTTTCAGCTTTTCCCCAGTTGCCCCTGTTTCTCCAGTGGGAAGGACGGGGGGTGAGGAGGTCCAGCCAGCCTGTGTGCCCACACCCTGCCCAAAGGCACTGGGGAGCTGGGCCTGAGGGAGGAAGGGCCACAATGTTGGTGATGGACTCAGGGAAAACCCGTCTCTCCCTCGTGTGTGTTTAGGGGCCATAACACAGCAGAGGTGTCTGAGGTGCTGGGGGTGGTGAGGGAGCCTCGGGCTGAAGGACACAGAGATGGGGCAGGCAGGGCCTTCCCTGGGGCTGCGGGTCCAGCCTGGCCCAGCCATGGAAGAGCAACTCGAGTCCCTCTTGGAGAGAGGCGGCCGGAGAGCTGAGCACATCTGTCAGCTCATTGTCTGCGTGGAGCAGAGAACAAAGAGGAAAACAACAGAAAAAATGCAAAATGCATTTAAAAATACTCTTTCATTTCCCTTTTCGCCAGAAGCAGAAGTACTTAAATAACAGAGGACAAAAGCAGCTCTTACAGAATTTCCAAGAATTGGGAAAAATAAAAAGTCCTGTGAGAAGGACTGGTTTTAGGAGATTTCCACCCCTGTCCTGCCAGACCTGGGCTTGCAGGCTGGGGAACCCCTGCAGAAACGCCCGGGAGCTGCCTCCCCTTCTCCAAAGCAAACACCAGCCTTGCGGCTGCTGTATTTCAAGTCACGTCAGTCCGTTTGGATACGTGTCCTCTATTCATTTTAAAAGCAAGCTTTCAGAAAGGTATGAGGCAATTTTTTTTTCCCATCAGTATTTTTCTTCTGCAAATTGCTTGGCTAAAAGGCTCAGCAGAATATAAAAATCAAAGGGATAGAGATTAAAATCTGAAAGGAAAAAAATAATAAGGAAGGCATTGCTAAAAGATGTTTCTGGGAAGTGTGGGCGACAGTAGATTTAAGAAACATTTGTAGCCAGATGAAGCACCCAATCTGTGTACAAATGTCCTGTCACTACTGATGTACTCTTATAGCATGGGGGGTACTTTGCTGGTATGCCATACAAGGGGATCAAATTTTATTTTCCTCTATAAATGCAATTTTCTGTAACAGAATGGAGACAAGCTGCATGGGGGTAATTAAGAACAGAAAAACTTCTAGTGTTTCAGAGGTAGAGGCTGTTGCACATGCAATGAGGTGCTTTTACACTGAGTACGGTGAATATTTGATGCTTTATAGTGACTTCAAGACTGCCAGAGGCACTCTGTCACAGCCCACAGTGGTGGATCCACTGCCGGAGATGTTGGGCTTGTTCCTCGATCAGAGGAGATGTATTGCTAGATATCACGTGCTGAGGTTTCATATTGCACATATCAGAAATGTGTATAAATAGTGAGGAGGCATGCATAACACAAATCAAGCACCTTATATAGCTGATTTCCCAGTTATGGTAAGAATCCGTCCCTGTTGAACTACTTCTAGAAAAACCTACGCTCCCATGAGAATTCAGAGCATCTGCCAGTTTCACTGTGCAACACCTCTAAAAATCAGCCCTGAAGTGGCTCAGTTTGCTTGCTTCCATCTCCATGCACTCCATACCAGATGTAGAGTTTTAGCTAGTCCTTCCTCCATCTCCTCACCCATTCCACCACCTACCACACTGGTAGGGAGCTATGTGGTCTTAGCTTAAAATAGCATAGTTTGCTGAGCTGCTGACCGAATGTGACCAGTAACAAGTTATCTGACCTTCTCGTGCCCTCCATCAGTCAAGCTAGCTGAAATCAAGTCTGGTAAAAGTGCAGATGTTGCACCTGTGTTAAATGATTCATACCTCAGTATGGCTAATTTCTACATAAACATTTAATTTTAATATGTATGTAAGCTTTTTCCTGGCAAGAGAAGTGTTCAGTGATGTGTTTAAATTAAATGCTGTTGCTTTTGGTTAGGGCTGGGAAGGTGCTTGAAATTAAGTCCATTTAGAGAGTTTTGCTAACTTGATGCCCTTAATTTGTCTTTTTTTTTTTTAAGTCAAGCTTTATGATTAAAAAAACATACAGTGAGGTTAATATTGTGATATTCTTCTAGATGGGCAGCAGATCTGGGAAATGGAGGCAACAGTGGACAAAGATAAGAGCCAGCCTGTAAGTATGCAAAACATTGAATGTCCTCTCCTTCAGCTTCTCAGACAGCAAGTTGTATTCAAGTGGTGGTTTTAAAAGAGCGTCTCAAAAGCAGAAAGAGCAGCTATCTTACTGCTGTGATGAACAAATGTCAAATGCTTCAGCAGTAAATGTGTTGCAAAAAGAAACTATTCATTTAGCAGTAACTCACAGCAAATTGAATAACTGCTAGATTTAGTGTTCTTGCAGAAGACTCTATTGTATCAGCCTCTGCAGGATACTGGCTGTCCTCACTTCCTTTTGCCTGTATGGAAGTCTTGGGTGCTCTGTACTTTGCAGGACAGGATTTGCTCTATAGTACTTAAAATTAACATTGATATTTCAAGGGAATGAGCCTCTTTGTTCATTTTGCTTAATGGGACCTTACTGTAGTTGTTCAGTGCATTTAGGAGCTAGCACTTACATTGCCATGGGCCATGCCTGCCCTTGTGGGAGAGAACAGGACACTTACTGTTAATTTCCATGGAATTGGCATCCGGCTGTGTATAAGTAAAAAGCCTATAGAATAATCAGGTTTATTCTAACAAAAAGAGGGAGTTCTGCAATACATACTTTTTTATCAAACACAGTGTGGTTAACAGTGCTGCTGCATTTATCACCATTCTATGTGTTTTATTTGTAGCTGAAACGTCTCCCTCCAAGTTCAGGACAACATCAAGTACAAGAGAGGATACAGTACATAGAAACCAGCTTCCTAGTACCAAAAATCTTCTAGTCTTCCACCATCTGCCCTTTTTTACCTTTCTTCTTCTCACACCCTTCTTTATAGGGATGAATAGGAAGATTTCTGTTCCTTTATACCTGAACGCATAACGGAGGAGACCCACACGAGAATCTGCAGTCAGCCTCGGTTACTAATTCTATATTGTCACCTCTCATTGTTTCAGAGCATGCTTTTTGTAGAAATACCAGAGTACCGTAACAAGCACATTCGCACAGCTGTGAAGGTGAATTTCTATGTCATCAATGGGAAAAGAAAAAGAAGCCAACCCCAGCATTTTACCTATCACCCAGGTAATTCTCAAGGACACAGCAAGTTGTTGTCTAGTTCTCATGAACAAGATTTTATTTTCTGCTGTGTTGTTTTCTTGCCATTATTTGAGGATCTATATTTTACTAATTTAATTCAGCTGAGTGCAACTGAGCACTCAACAATTGTTTGGTTTAAAGAGTGCATGTGATTTATGATGAGGAATTTCCCATACATTTAAGGGGACAGTTACCTTGGCAATAGGCTAATGCTGCCCCATTCACTTGATGGAAGTTTGCCAACAGCCTCAGTGGGAGCAGACTCAGTCTGTCACATGATGTGACCCTGTGAAAATCATGAGCATTGCCTTCCCCAGATGACATGTATGACACAAAGATAACATCAGATCTGGGAAAGTAACAAGGGCTTGGTATGGAGGAAGACAAGCAATATATATTCCTCATAATGAGGTTGGTTGAGAAAAATATGAATGCTTTTCTTATGTTCTTCCTCTTGGGAATTGGTGAGCCATGTCACAATAAATGCAATATGATTACTAATGAGATTCCCAGAATTTCTCAGCTTTGACTGGGAGAAAAATCTTGTGAGAAAATCAGAAAATTGTGTTTGTGGAAACCAGAAAGCATAAAATAACTACCACATTCTATGCAGGCTTCAAAATGACTGGTTTCTAAGGACAGGCAAACATTTGTTCTGATTCTTATTTTGGTCTCCTCCAGCCTGAAAATCTCTGATCCTCTCCATGAATTTATGAACTGTATAGGGTGTCACCAATGTAAGGGTTTTGTATAGTTGCTAAATTGTTCTGCTATGGAATAGTATTGAGAAGTACAATACTATCTCAATATGATCCCTAAAATAGACTGCTTCAGAGAAGGAATTCTCACACTTCCAAAAAGTAACCCCATTGTATGACCATTATATGCTTTCCATTGTATTTCCGTGGTATTTCTGTACTGAGTTTTGGGAAGATTTGACAAAAAAAACCCCATTAGAAATGTGAGAATTTGTCTGTAGAGGACCATCATTTGTCCACACCAAGATTCATACAACTCTTACTAAACCATGGTCTTTCAAATGATTGTTAGGTCTTCAGCTCTCAGTACTGAGGAAGTTACGTGCAGCAAAGGAACAAAAAGGAAGCTCTAAAATAGTTCAACTCTGCCTTTGGGCACTAATTAAATATTTGACAGAAAAATAAGGAGTTGTATATGTCATAGGATTTCTATTTATTCGGTCTTCCTTTGAGATGGAAGTACTACACAAAACACCTATATGGCTTCTTATTTTGCTTGTGTTCTAGAATGGCCCTTAAATGAATTAAAATATGAGCTGAAGTATGGATGTTTTTAATTTTTAGAAATTTGTGGTTAAATAGATAATTAAAGATTTTTAAGAACATCTCAGTACAGAGTGCTTTCAAAAGTGGCTCTGCTGTGATGGCACATACATGATTTGTTAAACTCAATGCCTGCGAGGTACGAGCTCACACATGCAAACCTTGTAGACAGCTTAAATCTCTTATTACTTAAAGGAAAACCTCTCTGTTTCTCATCAGCTTGTTACGAATAATGTCCTTTGCATGCTTTATTCTAGTACCATCAATCAAAACAGAGCCCATTGATGACTATGATCCAGCCTTAATCTGCAATACAGTACACAGTGGTCTGGGAACAGTAACACAGCCTTACTATTCACAGCACACAATGATCACCGAATCCCCTTCCTGTCTTGTGGCCACTATGGCTCCTTGCCAGCAGTTGCGCTCGGGCCTTTCTTCTCCTGATTCTCGATACCATCAGCAGAATCCAGCCGCTGTAATATACCAAAGAAGCAAAAGCCTTAGCCCAAGCCAACTGGGCTACCAGCAATCCAATTTGATGGCTACACCAGTTGCTATTTCAGATGCCCATAGGTCAGTGCTGGTGCATGCTGGTTCTCCAGGCCAAGCTTCAGCAGTGCTCCACCACTCTCCAGGCAACCAGCAGTCTTCTCCAGTGATTCACTATTCTCCTACCAACCAGCAGCTGAGGTGTGGAAGTCACCAAGAATTTCAGCACATCATGTGCTGTGAAAATTTTACGTCCAATGTTGCAAGATCCAGCCAGCCCCAGGTCAGTCAAGCACAAAGGTTAAGTCCAAGTTCATATCCTACCGTGATTCAGCAGCAGACAGCCTCAGGCCAGCGAGCAGCAAAAAATGGACCACCGGTTAGCGACCAGAAAGAAGTGTTACCAGCTGGAGTCACTATTAAACAGGAACAGAATCTGGACCAAGCATATCTGGATGACGGTAAGCACTGCTCTTCTCTTGTGTGGGTTGGTTTGTTGGAGGGAGGGAGGAAGTTTAGGACTTACAAATCTCACCTGTTCCTCTGCACAAAAGCAACGTGGCCTTTTGATGGGTTGACATTTGCTGTTTGCTCATGCTGTATTTTGGTCTTTCATCAACTGCATTTTTTGGAGATGGCAATAACTTTGGCAACTGAGCAAAAAACATAGTGTTCTGCAGAAACCCTCTGTCTTGCTTCGTGCCATGGTGCGAGCTGTCAGGTCTCAAGCTGTTGCCATTTTCTTTTCATTTGCCAAAGGTTAGTTTGGAAAATGGAGAATCTGAAACAAAATGCACTTTTAAATTATTTTTTTATTATTCATATCAGGGCAAAGTCCACTTTGTAAAATGCTTTTGTACATTTTGTACAAAAAAAAAAAGCCTATTGAACAGTCTATCAAGGCCTGAAATGAATGGGGTTAGTGCTGCAGGCAAAACTATTGCAGATGTTCCAGATGAACAGTAGGACATTGATAAGTAAAACAATGCTGTTTCTTTGTTGTGGGCCCAGCAGATTTAGCCTTTAAGAATGAATATAAGTTAGAGTAAAGCTTTCTGTGAACATATCCTGCTTATTCTTAGGTAGGCAGCTATTTGCAGTCTGGTTGATTGGTTCTTTTATTAAAGTGTGTTCCTTGCAAGAGGAAATCAATGCAAAGTTAATAGTGCAGCTGGACGCTGCAATCATAAAGGCCTGTAGCAAAACTGACATTGATTTTAGTGGGAGCAGAAGGAGGTTGCTGGATATATTGCTGCAAATATAGGGTGTTCTTATGCATAAAGTAGACCTGATTTTCACATATATTCACTGCTGCTATCCTCTCAATCTAGGCAATTGAATGCATGGTTTGATCTTGTGAATGTGCACTGTTATGTGCTTTGTATGCACACAGTAGGGATTTTTCCTGCAGTTACTCATCTGGAGTTGTGAAATTGTGCCCATTAAAGTTTTATTTTCTTCAACTTTGGTACTGAGTGCTCTGTGACTGTATCACGTCCAGTCTTCATTGCTGCTTTTGTGGGCAGAGTAGAGTTTGGATTGTTTTCTCTGTTAGTCTGTGTTTGAAATGTTGTTGGTATAGCTTTGGTGCATCACAGTAAAATCTGGAGAGTTTTTACTGGTCTTGTCTGAAGAGGATTGTTGAATTGGGTTTTAACAGTTAATTTGATTTAGGAGATTTGCTGGATCTGCAAGAAAGTAGCTAAGTAAAATCCACATCCCATTCAGGGAATGCAGAGTGATAACAAAGCAAGATAATATTTCTAATAATAAAATTGAACACTGTTTTAAAATGCTTTTAATATGAGAAGCTGAGAGATTCTTCCATGTTTCTAAAAATGCTTGGTACAAACCTTCTAAAAGAAATAAAAAAGAAAAAATCTTGAAGTTAAAACTAGCAAACTTCACAGTTGAGCCAAAGTCCACTTAAATGAACTCCCAAAATGGACTGCAAAATTAATTTCACTGGGTTTTGAATCAGGCCAGTAACATCTAACATCAAGCTCACAAGGGATGCTCTTGACCTCCGTGCTAAGAGGAGCTATTGAGCATAGTAGCAGCAAGTTAGTAATGAAATTCCAGGCTCCTGCTTGGCTGACTGAATCATCCTGAATTGATTTCAACTAGAGATTAATTTATCAATTATGCCACCCAAGTCAGACCAGGCGAGATCAGTCACATGCAGTCTCTTTACTGACCTCAGTGAGTTTAGATTAGTTAGAAGTGTGACTTGGGGAATTGTGATTTACTTTAGGATTTTGCAAAACATTTCATTCTGAAATATTCAGGACTTGAATTGAAAAGCCACTTTGTTTGCTGCTGGGGAAAAGTGACTCAGAACATAACAAAAGCCATATTTTTCCTGACTAGAAAGTTTATTTTTGTGCTTTATAGTATTAAAAGAAAGCAAACCCAAAGGATTATGGAGGCTTTACCCTCAAATCCCTTTTATCCAGAAAGCTCTTCTGAGATAAAGGGAGCTGTTAGGTCTTGCTGTGATTTTTCACAGATAGATACTGAGATGATGGTTCCCCAGCCAGGCTTGGCATGAGTGCTCTGCACTGCTGCTGATGCACAGACTCTTAGGCAATCACTGTTTTGGTGCCTCATGCTTCTTCCCTTCCCTCATCTTCCTTCTCTCTCTCCTTTGTTCTTCTTTCTTTGTATTTCTGCTGACAGCCCAGCTTTCAATGCTGTCTATGGTTGTGACCTCCTCTTGTCAACTCTTGTCCTCTGCCTCTGTGGTTAACACGTAGCCTTGGTGTTTTGGAATTTGCCTCTTTTCTAAGCTTTGCCACAAACTTCTGGAGTGACCTGGGACAAGCCCTGCCCTCTCGGTTCCTCATTCCTGAAGCTGTTGCCTCTCAGAAGGTACACTGTCCGAGTCTGAGCTCTCCTGGGAATGACCAGAGAAGAACATCTCATAGCTAACACAACTGCCATTTCTCTTTACCTCTTCCAGCTTCCTGCAGCCACAGCTGACAGGACTCTTCATTATTTTCTTATCTTCTCTGCTGTAAAAAAAAGTTTTTGTCCTTTTTACTGAGACTACGCTTTGTTCTTTGCTCAGGGCCTTCATTGCTCCATAGGGTACATAATACTGGGGGTTTAACACATTTAACCTTTCTTTACCTCCTGCCTTGAAAAGGTAAGAGGTGATTCCACCTCCACAGGAGGATTACAGTCAAATGTGTGACCATAGCTCACAAAACTGTAAGCTCTCAAAGTTGAATAGCACCAGCAGTGTAGTCAAAACAGCATGGACCTTAAGGTAGGTGATGACATGTATTTACCTATCTTCTCAGGTGGGTTTTGCCATGTGCGAGGACCTCTTTGTGCAGTAGCTGCACAACTGGTATCATCCATACTGGCTACCTTAGTGGTAGCTTTAGCACGTCTGTAGCTCATTTCTGACTGTACTGCAGATGTAGAGACTTGCCACGTGCTTTCCTGGAAGGAGACGTTTGCCCTATTCTTGTCTTGCCAGTGCTACCTCAGACCAAGAGGTGCCCAGCCCAGCCTATGCAGTGCCCTTGCAACTTCTCAGCTTTCCCCTCCCAGACAGAATTACGAAACACATGGTTACTGGAAGGAAGACTCTAACTATCAACTCATATAGGTTGGATTTGGAAATGCAGCCATTAGGGAGACTGATGGAGTTTAGACGTTGCCACATATGTGTATACCTTCATACACATATTCCTCCATAGGCAATCATATTTCTCTGTAAAAAAAAAAAATAAAAATATATATATATATATATATCCGTAACTTTTTGGTATCAAATAGTGTAAAGGTGAATCCTCAGAGGAAGGGACTATTCATGAAAAATTGGCAGAGAAACCTTTGTTACAAACCTGCCTCAGAGATTCATTACTTTTGGAAATAGATTGGGAGCAAAGATAAGCGATGATCAGGAGATCCTTTGGGACACGTCTGGTATTCAGGCTAATGGTGGCAAGTAGTGATTAGCTTCAAATGCAACTGAAAGCCATAGGATGAGAGAGTGCTCAGCGTGTTTCAGCCAAGGCCTCATCTTAATATTATTCATAACCAGAACCACCAACAATGGTAAAAGTTGCACAAACAACCACAGAAATATGTTGACAAATAGAATTTAGTTCTTCCAGGACTTTTAGAGCAACCAGATTACCTATTTAAAGCACAAACCTACTTAAAAACTTAGTTATTTGCAGCAGTGTCCAAAATCCCTTGATGGGGCAGGATTGAGAGAGAGGGGTCCAGGGCTTGGGGCTCTGGTTGCGCCCTGGACTGCCTGTGCTGGTGCTGCAGAGCCAGAGGCTTCCTGTGTAGCCCTGGGGAAGCCACTCAGCTGCCGAGCACCACAGTTCCCCATCTGTGACACAGAGATATGAGGATCGTGTGACAAGAGCAATAGGAGGATAAATGCATCACAAACTCTAAAGCACTCAGATGTGACATGATCTAGAAGTTCCTTGTAGAGACTGAATGTCAAATATGGTGTTAGACTCTTTCCATATACAAATAATGGATGTGTAGCTGTTGTCTTGAATGTTATCAACTTGCCTGCTTTAGATGTAGTTCTTTTTGATTCAGCTGTCATGTTGTGTGCTTTTTACTTTACAGAGAAAAATGATTGTCATTATTCAAATAGTAACTATCTAACCACATCTGACACTCCGAACTGTGCATGATACAGCAGCTCTAAATTATTTTTGGTGTATCAGTAATCCTTAATGGGGAGGAGAAAAGCAAGGCAGATGCTTGTGTAGTGGTTTATCAGACTGCTGATCAGCAGAGATGTTTTATAGCAAACTCATCATGTATTTCACAGAAAATTTCAGGCGCAGCAGATATTTCTTTAGAAAATGGATTTGCAGGGTGTGCAGTGTGGTGCTTGTAAATCACCCAGCCCTTTCGATCACCTTCGCTACGAACAATGTGTTAATTGGTGCAGTTTTGCTCCCCACCGTAGCAACCATTGCCCTAACCATGGGTCTCATCCAAGACCATTCAGAGTGTGTTAGGTCCCTATATTTTATTTTTGTGTTCTTTCATTCAACAACAAGAAAATCTGCAGTCTGCCCCCACAGTGGCATGAAATTAAATTTAAATCCCTTCTTTCCTCCACGTTCAGAAAGAATCTTAATTTTCAGACCAGCTTTTTCCTCCTTAGGCCGGTAGCTGTTAGGACCAAGCCTGAGCAGGGTGTACCTCCAGGAAACCCCGGGTCTCCTGGGGACCCAAGAAGCAAAGCTACTGTGTCAGCCCTGAGTAAGCAGCAGTCTGGGACTGAGCTCTTTCCTGCTGGCTTTGGTCTCTCGCCGCCCTCCCTGCAGTGTGCAGCCCACTCTGCATCGGCACCGGTCCCACGTGCTCCTTGGGGAGGCCGGTGTGCGTGTGTGGATGAAAGGACGGGGTCAGCATGGACAGGAGGGAAGACCAGAGGATACAGAGCCTCCCCTCGCAGCCGGCGTGG